TGGTGTCTCAGCGAAGTGATGAATCTCTTAAACCTTCTGTTTGCTGCCCTTTCTTGGGGGGCCATCTCTTTCTACCTCCGTGGTCTTTCCACCGATTCTCGGGATCTAAAGTTTCCTTTTTTGCTTAGAGTCTGGTGGGTTTTCTATTTCATGGTTTCTTGCTACCGTCTTTTGGTGGACATTGCTCTATACAAGAAGCAAGAACTGGAGCTTGTTCACCTTTTATTGTCTGATGCAGTGGCCGTTAGCGTGGGGTTGTTTCTCTGTTGTTCGTGTTTGCAGAAGCAAGGAGACGGCGGAAGGATCAACAACCTACTCGAAGAGCCGCTCTTGAATGGAGCTGAGTCAAGCGTGGCTAATAGTGTGCAGTTGGATAAGGCCGAAGGGGATGATGAGGTCGTTACACCTTTTGCTAACGCTGGGTTTCTAAGCCATGTGAGTTTCTCTTGGATGAGTTCTTTGATTGCCTTGGGAAATGAGAAAATCTTAGACAGCAAGGATGTTCCTCAAGTTGATAGTGGTGACAGAGCTGAGAAACTGTTTTGTGTATTTAGAAGTAAGCTTGATTGGGACGACGGTGAAAGAAGGATCACCTCGTTTAAGCTTATCAAGGCACTCTTCTTTTCAGTGTGGCGAGATATTGTCTTGTCAACTCTGTTTGCTTTTGTCTACACGATTTCTTGCTACGTTGCTCCGTATCTCATGGATAGTTTCGTCCAGTACCTGAATGGTAACAGACAATATTCGAACGAAGGGTTTGTTTTAGTCACAACTTTCTTTGTTGCTAAGCTTCTGGAATGCCAAGCGCGGAGGAATTGGTACTTCAGGTTGCAAAAATCTGGGATTGGAATGAGAGCTGTCTTGGTTTCGATGATCTACGAAAAGGGATTGACTCTTCCCTGTCACTCGAAGCAAGGACACACTAGTGGCGAGATCATAAATCTCATGACAGTAGATGCTGAGAGAATCAGTGCTTTTAGTTGGTATATGCATGATCCATGGATACTTGTCCTACAAATCAGTTTAGCCTTGTTGATCTTGTACAGAAGCCTTGGGCTAGGATCGATTGTAGCTTTTGCTGCAACCTTTTTAGTTATGCTGGGGAATATTCCTTTGGCAAAGTTGGAAGAGAAGTTTCAAGGAAACTTAATGGAGTCTAAAGATAACAGGATGAAGAAAACATCGGAAGTCTTGCTGAACATGAGGATTCTTAAACTTCAAGGATGGGAGATGAAGTTCCTTTCTAAGATTCTTGACCTTAGAGGAATTGAAGCAGGCTGGCTTAAGAAGTTCGTGTATAACTCAGCTGCTATCAGCTCTGTTCTGTGGGCTGCGCCTTCTTTCGTATCGGCAACAGCTTTTGGTGCTTGTATGCTTCTGAAGATCCCTCTTGAGTCGGGAAAGATACTAGCGGCTCTTGCAACTTTTCGGATTCTGCAAAATCCAATCTACAAACTTCCCGACACAATATCGATGATTGTTCAAACAAAGGTATCGCTTGACAGGATTGCATCTTTTCTCTGTCTTGATGATTTGCAGCAAGATGGTGTGGAGAGACTTCCCAGTGGAAGTTCAGATATGGGTGTGGAAGTCAGCAATGGTTCCTTCTCTTGGGATGAGTCTTCTCCCATCCCAACGCTGAGAGACATAAGTGTCAAAATCCCACATGGGATGAACGTTGCTATATGTGGTACGGTTGGTTCAGGGAAATCAAGCTTACTCTCATCCATACTTGGTGAAATTCCCAAAATATCTGGAAATCTTAAGATTTGTGGAAGAAAGGCATACATTGCACAGTCTCCATGGATCCAGAGCGGCAAGGTCGAAGAGAACATCCTGTTTGGTAAGCCAATGCAAAGAGAATGGTACGAAAGGGTGCTCGAAGCGTGTTCATTGAATAAGGACTTGGAGGTACTTCCGTTTCGTGATCAGACGGTCATTGGGGAAAGAGGTATCAACCTAAGCGGGGGACAGAAGCAAAGGATACAGATTGCACGTGCTTTATACCAAGATGCAGATATCTATCTGTTCGATGACCCTTTTAGTGCAGTAGATGCCCATACTGGATCACATCTCTTCAAGGTAAAAAACTGTTTTTCTGTTCTTCTGATTATCTTGACTTGTACGTACCCTCTTATCATCTACTTTCTGCTGTCTTGTTCTACACATCGTGATACGCTTATTGTTCTTTGTAACAGGAAGTCTTGCAGGGGATTCTGAGAAATAAGACAGTCATATACGTCACTCATCAACTTGAATTCCTGCCTGAAGCTGATCTTATACTGGTTTGGCACTTGTTCGCTCTACTGACTTTCCAGTGCATTACCAAACCACATATTTATGATATCATATATAATCATTTTGGTAGGTCATGAAAGATGGGAAGATCACACAAGCGGGAAAGTACAATGAAATTCTTGATTCAGGAACCGATTTCATGGAACTTGTAGGAGCTCACACCGATGCCTTATCAGCAGTTAATTCATTTGAAAAAGAATCTGCTTCAGCACAATCAACAACAAGCAAAGAAAACGAAGTGTGCAATGATGAAGAAAAGCAAGAGGAAGATTTGGAGACCCCGAAAGGACAACTAGTTCAAGAAGAAGAGAGGGAGAAAGGCCAAGTTGGGTTCACTGTATACAAAAAGTATATGGCATTGGCGTATGGAGGAGCACCTGTGCCTATTATATTGGTCGTACAGATTCTCTTTCAGATTCTAAACATCGGGAGCAACTATTGGATGGCTTGGGTGACTCCTGTTTCGAAAGATGTGAAACCTCCGGTGAGTGGCTCCACGTTGATTCTAGTCTATGTAGTTCTAGCCACTGCGAGCTCCTTCTGCATACTTGTCAGAGCAATGCTGGCTGCGATGACTGGTTTCAAGATAGCTACCGAACTCTTCAAACAAATGCATCTCCGCATTTTCCGTGCTTCCATGTCGTTCTTTGATGCAACCCCAATCGGGCGAATCTTGAATAGAGTAAGAACTATCTATGCTATATATATGTAATGACAATACCGGAAACTGATCCTCCAAACTCTTTGCCTGATCACTGTGGTTTCTTAAACCTGATGTAGGCTTCTACAGATCAAAGCGCCGTGGATTTGAGATTACCAAGTCAGTTTACAAATCTTGTTGTTACTGCTATAAACATCTTGGGGATTGTCGGAGTGATGGGACAGGTTGCTTGGCAGGTCCTGATCGTCTTCATCCCTGTCATCGCTGCATGCACCTGGTATCGGGTATTCTTCATAACACTGACAAACTTAGATCACAGCTTAGCTTCTTCATTAGGAGTTTCTTACCTGTAACTTGCTATCATATAATCTTGCCTAGTAGGTCTTGATAATATTGAACATATGTGTGCAGCAATATTACATATCTTCGGCTCGGGAACTCGCGAGACTATCTGGGATAAGCAGATCGCCTGTGGTCCAACATTTTTCGGAAACACTTTCAGGGATCACAACTATCAGGAGCTTTGATCAAGAATCAAGATTCCGCAGTGACATTATGAGTCTTAACGATTGTTATTCTCGGCTGAGGTTCCATGCCATCGCTGCAATGGAGTGGCTCTGCTTCCGCCTTGATCTCTTATCTGCTGCTGCATTTGCGCTTTCACTTGTTATCTTAGTTTCTATCCCCGAAGGAGTCATTAATCCAAGTAAAGCTACACTGCCCTCTCTTATCAGTTTTTTCTTTCTTTCCAACCACTACTACTAAAGTTTCTCTGTGTTCTGCTTCTTAAAGGCCTTGCAGGACTGGCTGTTACATATGCACTCAATCTAAATAGCCTGCAAGCCACACTAATATGGACACTTTGCGATCTTGAGAACAAAATGATATCTGTGGAGAGAATGCTTCAGTACATAGACATCCCTAGTGAGCCGTCTCTCGTGATTGAATCAACTCGGCCTGAGAAATCATGGCCTTTTCTTGGAGAGATTACTATTTGTAATCTGCAGGTAAACTGCACTCTTTCCTTCTTTTTTCGTCCTCATGATTTGGAAGGTCTTGTGACTGATATATGATTAAACGCAGGTAAGGTATGGAGCACATTTGCCTATGGTGCTTCGTGGATTGACATGCACTTTTCCAGGAGGCCTGAAAACTGGAATCGTTGGAAGAACAGGATGTGGCAAATCCACTCTGATTCAAACCCTTTTTAGGATTGTGGAACCAACAGCTGGAGAAATCAGAATCGACGGAATAAACATCTTGACCATTGGACTGCACGACCTGCGTTCCAGACTGAGTATCATACCTCAAGATCCAACCATGTTTGAAGGCACGGTTCGTAGTAACTTGGACCCTCTTGAGGAATACAGTGATGACCAAATCTGGGAGGTTCGTTGGCTCTTATCTATGTTTCTGCAGGATAGCGAAAGGAAGCTTCTAACACTATTTGTTGGTTTCTTGTTTCAGGCACTTGACAAGTGCCAGCTCGGGGATGAAGTGAGGAAGAAAGAACTAAAGCTCGATTCCACTGGTTAGTATAAAACTACAGTAAAAAAGATTCATCTTGAATCTCTTAAACATACATCTAGTGAATGAAACCTGAGCGTTTATTTATTTATTTCAGTTAGCGAGAACGGACAGAACTGGAGTGTTGGTCAGAGACAACTGGTGTGTCTTGGACGAGTCTTGCTAAAGAGAAGCAAAGTATTGGTTCTTGATGAAGCCACAGCTTCCGTAGATACTGCGACTGATAATCTGATCCAGGAGACTCTGAGGCAACACTTTTCGGATTGTACGGTGATAACAATCGCACACAGAATATCATCTGTTATTGACAGCGATATGGTTCTGCTCCTAGACCAAGGTCCTGAACTCATGATCATCATACACACTTGTACTACGTTTCCTTTTTTTTTATATGAAGACTTATATTAAAACCGTCTCTGTATTGTAAGTGCAGGTCTTATCAAAGAACATGATTCACCGGCGAGATTGCTTGAAGACAAGTCGTCGTCATTCTCAAAGCTTGTGGCGGAGTACACAGCGAGCTCGGATTCCAGATTCAAAAGAAGCTGTTAGAATATATAAAGAAAAAAAGTCCATGAAACGAGGGGAATAAGAACCAAACTTGTTTTTATTACACTTATTGTCGTGTTTGAACAAAGCTGAACCAAACGAGGGGAATAAGAACAAAGCTGTTAGAATATCTTGTCGTGTTTCTACCCAAAATTAAACTGTCTGTACAAAAAAGAAGTTGCTGTTTGTGATAAAAAAAAAAAAACATGTCTGATGAAAAGTCAATGGAAGTTGCTAAAGGAAAAAAATGGGCGACTCTTGATGATAGTTTCATACTGATTTCTTTTGTGCCTTCTTTCTCATTTCTCTTGATTCTTGTTCATTTTAACTTGATTTTCCCTCAAATCTCTATTTTGTATTTCCCAACACAAATCGTGGTTTCATTCCATCGCTGTTGTTAGTAGAGATATCACAGGCGAGGAGGTTCTCAGGGAAGTTTGCAATGAAACTCTTTTCCTCTTCCCATCTCTCAAGTTACTATCTAAGGCTTTCGGAAACAGTGCGGCGATGGGGTTTTAATCGGAGCCGCCGCTTACGGCGGCGGTGGAAAATCCGGCGAGATTGCTAGGCGGACATGGACCAGCCATCGCATTTATTAGAGTGGTCTGAATACTGTGATCAAATCTATGGGAAAGAAGAAGAATTTATCATACTCCAGCACTCAGGAGTAGTTTGCTTACCATCAGTAAGAACCAATGTAAGTATATAATCTGTTTATGGTAACACATGTTGTTGAGAAACTGATATCAGAAAAAGTGATTTTCTATTGTGTCCGTCAAATTTTGATAGGTCTGCTTGTTCATCTGTGTATTGTTCCCAGAAGGGTCCTTCATCGTTTGTATCGGTGACGGTGAGGTTTCAGACGGAAGTTTCTGCGAAGGTTAGGTGGTGCAATGCTTTCACCATTATAAAATTCAATGTTTGGAAGGTTGCTGCGCGCGTCATGGTCTATGTATAGTTTTTTAATTGTGAGCTCGTCTTGGTCTTCCAAAGTAGTATTATTTATTGACTCAATAGCCTATAAATATCCGTCCACTCACAATAGTAATCATTTTCGTCAACACTCCTTTCCTGATGGAAAATCCTATCGATTGTCTTCTCCTTCAGCCCATTTACTTTCCATTGCTCTCCCTTTTCTTGAATCTGGTTTTGTTGCTGATTCTTTTTGGTTCATGGGTTTGCAAGAACAGGGTAGCTTCTGAAAATAGTGATGGTTTAGTGGAAAAAAGGTTTACAAATATGTCTTTGACGAATAATAAACTGGTTGCTGTCTGCTGCGTGTCATTATCTCTGTTTTATTCTGTACTTTCTTTGCTAAGTTTCGTTAGCTGGCATACACCTGATTGGGCTCTCTTAGATCTTCTGGTGGCTGCCCTTACTTGGGGTACTATCTCCGTCTATCTTCGTGGTCTATTCACTGATTTTCATGAGCAAAAGTTACCATTTCTGCTTAGAGTCTGGTGGGTTCTCTATTTCATGGTTTCTTGCTACCGTCTTGTGGTAGACTTTGTTCTATACAAGAAGCAAGAACTGGTGCCAGTTCACAATGTAATGTCTGATTTGGTGGGCGTTTGCGCTGGCTTGTTTCTCTGTTGTTCGTGCTTGTGGAAGAAAAGAGACAGCGAAAGGATCAACCTTCTCCAAGAACCATTATTGAGTAGTGCTGAGTCTAACGAGAATGAAGGCTGCGATGAGGTCACTACACCTTTCTCAAAAGCTGGGTTTCTAAGCCTCGTGAGTTTCTCTTGGATGAGTCCTCTGATCACCTTAGGCAATGAGAAAATCATAGACAGCAAGGATGTTCCTCAGCTTGACAGTAGTGACAGAGCTGAGAAGCTGTTTCGGATATTTAGGAGTAAGCTTGAATGGGACGATGGTGAAAGAAGGATCACCACATTTAAGCTCATCAAGGCACTCTTCCTCTCAGTGTGGCGAGATATTCTTTTGTCAACTCTGTTTGCTTTTGTCAACACGATGTCTTGCTACGTTGCACCGTATCTCATGGATAGTTTCGTCCAGTACCTGAATGGTCACAGGCTGTATAAATACCAAGGCTATGTCTTAGTGACAACTTTCTTTGTTGCTAAGCTTGTGGAGTGCCAAAGTCGGAGGCACTGGTTCTTCAGGGCGCATAAAGCTGGGCTTGGGATGAGAGCGGTCCTGGTTTCGATGATCTACGAAAAGGGCTTGACCCTTCCATGTCACTCCAAGCAAGGACACACTAGCGGCGAGATTATAAACCTCATGGCAGTAGATGCAGACAGGATCAACGCTTTTACTTGGTTTATGCATGATCCATGGATACTTGTTTTACAAGTTAGTTTGGCCTTATGGATCTTGTACAAAAGTCTCGGACTTGGATCGATTGCAGCTGTTCCTGCCACTGTTTTGGTTATGCTGGCGAATTTTCCCTTTGCAAAGCTGGAAGAGAAGTTTCAGAGCAATTTGATGAAGTCCAAAGACAACAGGATGAAGAAAACATCGGAGGTCTTACTGAACATGAGGATTCTCAAACTTCAGGGATGGGAGATGAAGTTCCTTTCTAAGATTCTTGAACTTAGGCATGTCGAAGCAGGCTGGCTTAAGAAGTTCGTGTATAACGCAGCAGCTATCAGCTCTGTTTTGTGGACTGCACCGTCTTTCATATCTGCAACAGCTTTTGGCGCTTGTATATTGCTGAAGATCCCTCTTGAGTCGGGAAAGATACTAGCGGCTCTTGCAACTTTTCGGATTCTGCAAGGCCCAATCTACAAACTTCCGGAAACAATCTCGATGATTGTTCAAACAAAGGTATCTCTTCGCAGGATTGCTTCTTTTCTCTGTCTTGATGATTTGCAGAAAGATGTTGTGGAGAGACTTACTAGCAGAAGTTCAGAAATGGCTCTAGAAGTCAGCAATGGTTCCTTCTCTTGGGATGAATCTTCCCCAATCCCAACACTGAGAGACGTGAGTTTCAAAGTATCTCAAGGGATGAATGTAGCTATTTGTGGTACCGTTGGCTCGGGTAAATCAAGCTTACTCTCATCCATACTTGGTGAAGTTCCCAAAATATCTGGAAATATTAAAGTTTGTGGAACAAAAGCATACATTGCGCAATCGCCTTGGATTCAAAGCGGCAAAGTCGAAGATAATATTCTGTTTGGTAAGGCAATGGAAAGAGAATGGTACGAGAAGGTGCTTGAAGCATGTTCTTTGAATAAGGACTTGGAGTTGCTTCCGTTCCATGACCAGACGGTTATTGGGGAAAGAGGTATCAATCTAAGCGGTGGACAGAAGCAACGTATACAAATCGCTCGTGCTCTCTACCAAAACGCAGATATTTATCTGTTTGATGACCCTTTTAGTGCAGTAGATGCTCATACAGGATCACATCTCTTCAAGGTAATAATCGTTTCTTTTTTATTTCTGATTTATCTACTTTGTGCAGGATTGTGCTATGTAATCTTGATATGATTTCTCTCGCTTATTGTTGTTTCTAACAGGAAGTCTTGCTGGGGATTCTGAGAAACAAGACAGTCATATACGTCACTCATCAAGTTGAATTTCTGCCTGAAGCTGATCTTATACTGGTTTGTGACTTGTTTGCTCTAACATCTTTCCCAATGCATTATCTAACCACACATTTATGATATCAGATTATCATTTTGGTAGGTTATGAAAGATGGAAAGATCACGCAAGCAGGGAAATACAATGAAATTCTGGATTCAGGAACAGATCTCATGGAACTTGTAGGAGCTCACACTGATGCCTTAGCAACCGTTGATTCATATGAAACAGGCGATGCTTCGACAAAACCAACCACGATCAAAGAAAAAGAAGTCATGAATGATGAAGAAAAACTAGAGAAAGGCACGGGTAAGCCAAAAAGAGGACAACTAGTTCAAGAAGAAGAAAGGGAGAAGGGCAAAGTTGGGTTCACAGTGTACAAAAAATACATGGCACTAGCATACGGAGGAGCAGCTATTCCTTTGATATTGATAGTGCAGATTCTCTTTCAGCTTCTACACATTGGGAGCAACTACTGGATGACCTGGGTGACTCCTGTTTCCAAGGACGTGGAGCCTCCAGTGAGCGGCTTCACGTTGATCCTAGTCTATGTAGCTCTAGCCATCGCTAGCTCCTTATGCATACTCGTCAGGGCATTGCTGGTTGCAATGACTGGTTTCAAGATGGCTACTGAACTCTTCACCCAAATGCATCTCCGCATTTTCCGTGCCTCCATGTCATTCTTTGATGCCACACCAATGGGGAGAATTCTGAACAGAGTAAGCAACTCCATATGATATGCTTGGTTTACACGAAATCCACAATGAGCTCGTTCACCTGATTACTCTGTTTTCAAACTTGGCTTTTAGGCTTCTACAGACCAAAGCGTGGCGGATTTGAGATTACCGGGTCAATTTGCATATGTTGCTATTGCGTCTATTAACATTTTGGGGATTATCGGAGTGATGGTACAGGTCGCTTGGCAGGTCCTTATCATCTTTATCCCTGTCGTCGCTGCATGTGCCTGGTACCGGGTATGGCTTCTTACTTATTGATATGAAGCATAACTAGGGTTCTTGTGGTTCTCAACTTCTCACTGATTTTATATGTATGCAGCAATATTACATATCTGCAGCTCGGGAACTGGCGAGATTGGCTGGAATAAGCAGATCGCCTTTGGTACATCATTTTTCTGAAACACTTTCAGGGATAACAACTATCAGGAGCTTTGATCAAGAACCGAGATTCCTCGGTGACATCATGAGGCTCAGCGATTGCTTTTCTCGGCTGAGGTTTCATTCTACTGGTGTAATGGAGTGGCTCTGCTTCCGACTTGATCTGTTATCCACCGTAGCGTTTGCTATTTCACTTGTCATCTTAGTTTCTGCGCCTGAAGGAGTCATTAATCCAAGTAAGTCACCGATACCACCTTTTTATCACTGCTTTTGTTTTGGTTCAAGATTCAAAACTGAAAATCTTTTGTGTTCTCTGGTTCTTATAGGCCTTGCAGGACTGGCTATTACATATGCACTCAATCTCAATAGCTTGCAATCAACTTTAATATGGACACTTTGCGATCTCGAGAACAAAATGATATCTGTGGAGAGAATGCTTCAATACATAAACATCCCCAGTGAACCACCTCTTGTGATTGAATCAACTCGGCCTGAGAAATCATGGCCTTGTCGTGGAGAGATTACTATTTGTGATCTGCAGGTGCGATATGGTCCACATTTGCCTATGGTGCTTCATGGATTGACATGCACTTTTCCAGGAGGCCTGAAAACTGGAATCGTTGGAAGAACAGGATGTGGCAAATCCACTCTGATTCAAACCCTTTTTAGGATTGTGGAACCAACCGCTGGAGAAATCAGAATCGACGGAATAAACATCTTGACCATTGGACTGCACGACTTGCGTTCCAGACTGAGTATCATACCTCAAGATCCAACCATGTTTGAAGGAACGGTTCGTAGTAACTTGGACCCTCTTGAGGAATACAATGATGACCAAATCTGGGAGGTTCGTTGGCTCTTGTTTCTATCTATGTTTCTGCAGGATAGCAAAAGGAAGCTTCTCATACTCTTTTGGTTTCTTGTTTTAGTCCCTTGACAAGTGTCAACTCGGGGATGAAGTGAGGAAGAAAGAACTAAAGCTAGATTCCCCTGGTTAGTATAACAAACACTACAGTCAAAAAGATTCATCTCGAATCTCTTAAGCATACATCTAGTGAATGAAACCTGAGCGTTTATTTATTTATTTCAGTTAGCGAGAATGGACAGAACTGGAGTGTTGGTCAGAGACAACTGGTGTGTCTTGGACGAGTCTTGCTAAAGAGAAGCAAAGTATTGGTTCTTGATGAAGCCACTGCTTCTGTAGATACTGCGACTGATAATCTGATCCAGGAGACTCTGAGGGAACACTTTTCGGATTGTACGGTGATAACAATCGCACACAGAATATCATCTGTTATTGACAGCGATATGGTTCTGCTCCTAGACCAAGGTCCTGAACTCATGATCATCATACACACTTATACTACGTTTTTTTTTTTAAATGAAGACTTGTATTGAAATTGTCTATGTATCCTAAGTGCAGGTCTTATTAAAGAACATGATTCACCGGCGAGATTGCTTGAAGACAAGTCGTCTTATTTCTCAAAGCTTGTGGCAGAGTACACATCGAGTTCGGACTCCAAATCCAAAAGAAGCTGTTAACTAGAATCCAAAGATTCTTTTAAAAATGGGACAGATCAAGAGCCAAAAAAAGTTTCTATCCAAATTTGCATACCGTCGTTTGTTCTTGACTTTTTTTTTAGCTGATGAGACTTCCATGAAAGTGGTATAATTGAAGTGGGAAAATAAAAGTTTGGACAAAGACTCATTAATAGATAAATATAATAAAATGTAGACCTGGATTTCCAGTGGCTATGAACACATCCACATGGCTCCATCTTGTGTTGACTAATCATTTGATATTGCTGCTATCTTTGGTCAGTGACCACTTTATTAAGTCATCATTGATAAGAAAGGAATATTATATGTGATTTTGTGAGATGATATTATGAGAGGAGGACTAGTAGCCATTGACTGACAAGATCAGATACTTTTAGTTACGTGCAGCCCAATCCATTACGAATCTCGTGGTTTTCCTTCCCAAGAAATTTGTGCACAATGAGACAACTTCCCACTTCCCAGATATTCTTCCAGAGTTTTAATAACATTTTTTTTTTTCATTAACCAAAAAATCTTAACCCCCAAAATATGATAACTTAGTTGTTGGGCTATGTGTAGTGTGACTCAGTAGTATACATTTGTTCATTGTTTCAAATTTTCTTTTTCTCAGAGTTTCATCGTTTGAAAGGGTGAAAAGAGGTATATGTGAAATGTTATGGTTTCAAATTAACAAGTTAATTTGTATTCTATGAAATATGAACAAGTCAAGAGTACATCAAAAAATTCCACATAATACGAATTAGTATGTACCAATTATTAATGTACGGTACTGTTCGTGTTTGATCGTCTACGTAATATTAGTTTGTCAGAATTCTCACTAAATGTGACCAAACAAAGTACCTGACATAAGAAGGAAATTTAAGCTTCGATGATATAATGTTTGCAACGACTAGAAGGACAACTTCATTTAAACCGTCATCATAATTCAGACAGACATGGATTGTAGTTGAAAAGTCAACATGTAAAAAATGGGCTCTCTACCTTTTCTTTTCTTTTTTCAAGTATATCTAATTTAACAGCTCTAAATTACAGAGTTAAATTTGTCAAAAAAAAAAAAAAAAAAAAACAGAGTTAGATAGAAGTATATAGTTTGGAAAAAAAATATTAATAAGGTACTGTAGGTAAATCATAAACAAATTTTGTTTTTTTTTTATTTCCTCTTCTTCTTTAAAATTCGTATCGATATTATATATTGGCAACAAATCAGGCTCACTTGATTAAAAAAAGCGAAAAAGAAATTGCAACAAAATAGAAGATATGAACAGAATATCCTTTTTTTGGCTACAAATTGCAACATTTCAATGACAAAATAAAATAATGTGAAGTAAAGATGTTTGTAAAAGATCCGTGAACGGCGAAAAAAGAAAGAAAGAACCCTTTTCGCCACCAAAGTGGCCATATCCTTCTCTGGTGGGGTTTGTGAGGGAGAGGGAGAGAGAGGACCGTCTTCTCTTCCTTCTTCTTGTGTGGTTTCGTGGGCGTGCTCTCCAAGGTATACTGTCCACATCCACTCGTCACCTCACCCCACCCTCGTTCTATAAGTACTCACTCGTTGAAAATACTCGGTATCAAATAATTGAAAACAGAGAGAGAGAGAGAGAGAGAGAGAGAGAGAGAGAGAGAGAGAGAGAGAGAGAGAGCAAAGCCATGGACTTTCTTGGTTCCACGAAGGATAACGGTATGTTAACAATGTTGTTCTCGTTTACGGAATCTATTTTGCCTCCAGATTCTAGGTCTTTTCTTCTGGAACCTCTTTTCCTAAGATGGGTTTCTGGTTTCTTGCACGGGGTTTTGTTACTCGTGCTGTTTTGTTCATGGGTGCGTAGCAAAATTAGGGGGAATAATGGTTTTGGTGTTGATACGGAGAGTTTGAAAGATAGGAGAGATTTCGGGTTTAACTCGGCTCTGTTTTGTAGCTTAGCTCTGTCTTTCCTTAATCTCGTGTTGATGTCGTTGAGTGGTTTCTATTGGTACGAGAGTGGTTGGTCAGATAACGAGCAGCTTGTTTCTCTCGTCGGGTTTCTATTGGGAACGGTTTCTTGGGGGGTTTTGTCGGTTTGCTTGCGTCGCTGTAGTGATTATGAGAAGAAAAAGTCTCCGTTTTTGCTTAGGCTCTGGTTGGGTTTCTATCTCGCGGTTTCTTGCTACTCTCTTGTGGTAGACTTTGTTATGTACAAGAGACACGGAACCGTACATGTTGATCTTCTAGCGTACGATATACTTGCTTTCAGTGCTGCTTTGTTCCTCGGTTATGTGGCTTTCCTCAAGAAAGCTAGAGGCAACAGCAATGGAGTTTTGGAAGAGCCGCTGTTGAACGGAGATTCTAGTGTTGGTGGTGGTGTAGAGCTGCATAAGACCAACGGGAGTGATGAGGCTACACCGTACTCTAAAGCTGGTATTCTCGGTCTCTTGACTTTCTCTTGGATGAGTCCATTGATAAACATCGGAAACAAGAAAACCCTTGATCTAGAAGACGTTCCGCAGCTTCATGATAATGACAGCGTAGTCGGGTTAGCCCCAAAGTTTAGGAGTATGCTTGAGTCATCAGATGGTGGTGAGAGAAGTGGCGTGACCACGTTCAAGCTCATTAAGGCGTTGTTCTTTTCGGCTCAGTGGGAGATTATAGTGACGGCGTTCCTCGCTTTCATCTACACGGTCGCGTCATATGTTGGGCCAGCACTCATTGATACATTCGTTCAATACCTTAATGGACGTAGACTGTACAACCACGAAGGATACGTGCTAGTCGTCACTTTCTTTGTTGCTAAGCTCGTGGAGTGCCTTTCGCAGAGACATTGGTTCTTTAGGTTGCAGAAGGTTGGTATTAGGATGAGATCTTCTCTGGTCGCGATGATATACGAAAAGGGTCTGACTCTTTCTTGCCACTCAAAGCAAGGACGCACAAGCGGGGAGATTATAAATTTCATGACTGTTGATGCCGAGAGGATTGGGAATTTCAGCTGGTACATGCATGATCCATGGATGGTTTTGTTACAAGTCGGTCTAGCTCTGTGGATATTGTATAGAAACCTTGGATTAGCTTCAATAGCGGCTTTGATTGCTACCATTCTAGTCATGCTTGTGAACTTCCCATTCGGGAGAATGCAAGAGAGGTTTCAGGAGAAGTTAATGGAAGCTAAGGATAACCGGATGAAATCAACATCTGAGATCTTGAGGAACATGAGGATTCTCAAACTTCAGGGATGGGAGATGAAGTTTCTGTCCAAGATATTCGATCTCAGGAAGTCTGAGGAAGGATGGCTGAAGAAGTATGTGTATAACTCTGCTATTATAAGCTTTGTCTTCTGGGGTGCTCCTACTTTGGTGTCAGTCTCCACTTTTGGTGCTTGTATACTTCTTGGGATCCCACTTGAATCTGGAAAGATACTCTCAGCGCTTGCAACCTTCAGGATCCTACAAGAGCCGATCTACAATCTTCCAGACACTATCTCCATGGTTGTGCAAACAAAAGTCTCTCTTGATAGGATCGCATCCTATCTTTGTCTAGACAACTTACAGCCAGATGTTGTAGAGAGGCTTCCTAAGGGAAGTTCAGACATAGCTGTGGAAGTGACCAACAGCACTTTATCTTGGGATGTCTCATCCGCTAGCCCAACTCTAAAAGACATCAACTTCAAGGTCTTTCCTGGTATGAAGGTCGCAGTTTGTGGAACTGTTGGCTCTGGGAAATCGAGCTTGCTTTCATCTATACTAGGAGAAGTACCAAAGATATCTGGAAGTCTTAAGGTCTGTGGGACAAAAGCGTACGTTGCACAGTCTCCTTGGATTCAGAGCGGTAAAATTGAGGACAACATCTTGTTTGGTAAGCCCATGGAGAGGGAACGGTATGAGAAGGTGCTTGAAGCATGTTCTTTGAGTAAGGATCTGGAGATACTCTCATTCGGTGATCAAACTGTTATAGGAGAACGAGGCATCAATCTGAGTGGTGGACAGAAGCAAAGGATACAGATTGCACGTGCTCTCTACCAAGATGCAGATATCTACCTGTTTGATGATCCTTTTAGTGCTGTGGATGCTCACACAGGGTCACATCTCTTTAAGGTACAATCTTCTCTCTTAGCCATTAGTGTGATCTTTTTTAATCTTTTTAACCGCATCCTATTGATTTTACATTCTTAATTACTCTCCTTTCAGGAAGTTTTACTGGGGCTTTTGTCTTCCAAGTCGGTTATCTATGTAACTCATCAAGTTGAGTTCTTGCCTGCTGCTGATCTTATACTGGTATGTGAATAGTTTACTGTCTTTTCTCTTTTTTTATTTTATTTTATTTTGTGTCAGTCTATGTAGATGAAATCATACAAAACCGACTGTCTTATGGTCTCCAGGTCATGAAAGATGGAAGGATCAGCCAAGCTGGAAAATACAATGATATCCTAAGCTCAGGAACAGATTTCATGGAGCTTATAGGTGCGCATCAGGAGGCTCTGGCAGTAGTTGGTTCGGTTGATGCCAACTCTGTTTCTCAGAAACCAGCTTCAGGTGAAGAAAATGGTGTTGCTAGAGATGCTAGTGGGCTTGACGAGAAACAAGAAAGCCAAGATCTGAAGAATGACAAATCAGACTCTGGGGAGACCAAGAGACAGATTGTGCAAGAGGAAGAGAGGGAGAAAGGTAGCGTCGCTTTGGAAGTTTACTGGAAATACATCACACTGGCGTACGGAGGAGCTCTCGTGCCATTCATATTGTTGGCACAAGTTCTGTTCCAGCTTCTACAGATTGGTAGCAACTACTGGATGGCTTGGGCTACTCCTGTTTCCCAAGATGTGGAAGCTCCTGTGAACATGTCGACGCTGATGATTGTGTATGTTGCTTTGGCTGTTGGAAGTTCCCTCTGCATTCTTGTCAGAGCCACGCTTCTTGTCACCGCTGGTTACAAGACAGCCACTGAACTGTTTCATAGAATGCATCACTGCATTTTCCGCTCGCCGATGTCTTTCTTTGATTCCACTCCAAGTGGAAGAATCATGAACAGAGTACGTCCCTGACCACTATTGTTACTTGAGGCTTTCCATATTTACATACATACCTCATTGTGTTGTTTATTTCAACTTACTGCTGTAGGCTTCTACCGACCAATCCGCGGTGGATTTGGACATACCGTATCAATTCGGATCAGTTGCAATCACAGTCATTCAGCTTATTGGAATCATTGGAGTCATGTCTCAGGTTTCTTGGCTGGTTTTTCTTGTCTTCATCCCTGTGGTTGCTGCCTCCATATGGTATCAGGTATACTGTCCAAAAATCTTACTAATCTAGTCTTCCATAAGAGTTGGTTCTGTCAAATCTTAGCTACGTTTGTGACATAAAAAACTTTTGATTTTTTTTGCAGCGATATTACATAGCTGCAGCAAGAGAGCTTTCGCGGTTAGTTGGAGTCTGTAAAGGCCCTCTGATTCAGCATTTTTCTGAAACGATTTCAGGGTCAACAACCATCAGGAGTTTCAATCAAGAATCCAGATTCCGTGGTGACAACATGAGGCTGAGTGATGGTTACTCTAGGCCCAAATTCTATTCAGCTGGAGCGATGGAGTGGCTTTGCTTTCGCCTTGATATGTTATCTTCGCTTACATTTGCCTTCTCGCTTGTTTTCTTGATCTCCATACCTACTGGACTGATTGATCCAAGCCTCGCGGGATTAGCCGTGACCTATGGACTCAGTTTGAATACTCTGCAAGCTTGGCTGATCTGGACGCTCTGTAATCTTGAGAACAAAATCATATCGGTAGAGAGAATACTTCAGTACGCAAGTGTCCCCAGCGAACCACCTCTTATAGTCGAATCAAACCGACCTGAGCAATCATGGCCTTCACGTGGAGATGTGGACATCCGTGATCTTCAGGTAATCTATCTATACTATACCTTTCCTCTATCATAAGATCCCACACTTGATTTATTTTCCTTCTTAACCATTTGGAATTTTTTTGAAACCTTGTTAGGTCCGGTATGCTCCACATATGCCACTTGTGTTGCGAGGAATCACATGCACATTCAAAGGAGGTTTGAGAACAGGAATCGTTGGAAGGACAGGAAGCGGGAAATCGACTTTGATACAAACTCTTTTCCGCATTGTAGAGCCTACAGCTGGAGAAATCAGGATAGATGGAGTTAATATCTTGACCATTGGGTTACATGACTTGCGTTTAAGGCTAAGTATTATACCGCAAGATCCAACCATGTTTGAAGGAACAGTGAGAAGTAACTTGGACCCTCTTGAAGAGTACACAGATGATCAAATCTGGGAGGTGGGTTCTGTTTAATATCTGTCTTTCTTTTTAACTTAGTAAGAAACTGTGCAGTCTTGACTAATGAATCCGCTATGTGTTTAGGCTCTTGACAAGTGCCAGCTAGGAGATGAGGTGAGGAGAAAGGAGCAAAAGCTGGACTCTAGTGTGAGCGAGAATGGAGAGAATTGGAGTATGGGACAGAGGCAACTTGTGTGTCTCGGGAGAGTTCTTCTCAAGAGAAGCAAAATCTTGGTGCTTGATGAAGCCACTGCTTCTGTCGACACTGCAACTGACAATCTGATTCAGAAAACGTTGAGGGAACACTTCTCAGATTGTACGGTGATAACCATTGCACACAGGATATCTTCGGTTATAGACAGCGACATGGTTCTGCTTCTTAGCAATGGTTTGTCTGGGAACTTTTCAAATCATTCGATAGAAGAACATATGTGTGCAGATGAATCATTGAGGTGTGTCTTGTTTTGTTCTATGCTGTGCAGGGATCATTGAGGAGTATGATTCGCCAGTGAGATTGCTGGAGGACAAGTCTTCATCTTTTGCTAAACTCGTGGCTGAGTACACCGCAAGATCCAGTTCCAGTTTTGACTGATCCTCTATTTTCTTAGTGATGATAACTGATGACGATGAAAAAAAAAAAATACATAAGGGACCGTTAGTTTCTGAGTCGCTGCAACATTAGCTGGATTATATAGTTCACAAGAAAGAAACACGTATCATAGTTTTGTTTAAAACCAACTTTTGTAATGTTTATGTCAAATAACAGATGATGATTCTGTATCGTTATTTCAAATTAATGCAATAAATAAAACGTTATACTTCAAATTGAAAAATATCATAACGTTTCTCATTTGGTTTGATAAAAGTAAAACCGAAGCAGCTTCTTTGAAGAACAAACCGGATTAATTTGTTCAATCAAAGATCACGATCTATTGAACCGGGCCGGTTTAATATTTCTATTTTGCGCGGTTGGCCTGGTTGGTGGGAACGATAAGGCTATTAGTGTCATTAACCAGTCGCTGCCACTTGCTCGTGACTTTGGTCTGAAAAAACAAGTTTGACGGAGGAAAGGCGCAGCCTTTTTTTGTCTCCGCAACATCACCATTTTCGGCCTTTCGCTGCCGGAGGGGTTTCCCTTTTCAGCTATGAACCCTAGTCACCATTTTGTTTCGACTAAAAAGTTAACCATCCTTTTGGTGTACCAGCTTCACACGCTTCTGAGCAATTAGAGAATTGACTGATTAAGGAAGAGCCGTCTTATCTTTCTTCCTACTTTGGCTCTTCCCACACGCACATACCGGAGGAATTTTCAGCGAGGTTTTCCCGGGACTCTGTTTTATTTCTTCTTCCTCTTCTTCTTCATTTTCTATTCCCATTAGGGTTTTTCTGTTACCTGGTTCTTATGACGGGCATGGCACTTGAATTATCGGTTCTGGGTCGATCTGTCATTGGCACAAAAACCTCAAATTTGAAGAGATATGGTCAAAAATCGAAGCTTTCAGGAAGACTTCTCCCCAAAAGTGAACTGCACTGCCCTGTGGCGTTGAGTTCTTCTAAAAACTCCAATTTGAGTTTTAGATTCCAGCGAAGCTGTGAATTTAGCTACAAAAGAAGTAGCTTTATGCTGTTTAGCTCGAGGCAACATAACGAGGGTAGTCAACAACAGTCCGATTGTGGCGAAAAAAAGCTGGAGTCGATTAAGGTTTTACTGAAACGTGGGATTGTTATAGGAGCAGTGGTGTGTGGAGTTTTCTTATACGGATGCCAAAAGGTGTTAGCATCGGCAGGTGTGGTGGAAGCAGGCTATGAGGTGTTTGGTCAGAGCCTAGTGTTGTTCAAGAACGCTCTGCCAAAAATTTACCAGGTTCTTAAGGTTTTTAGAGAGCAAGGTCTAATATTGGCTGCTCTGCTCAGTCTCTCAGCATTCTTCTCTATGGCAGAGACGTCCATTACTACTCTGTGGCCGTGGAAGGTAAAATCATGTCCTTCTTTTGATTGAGGATTCCTCTTTTGTGATTTAGTAATGTCAATGCTAAAACAATGTAGAACGCTGTTGGGTTTGTGTGATCTTTATATTCTCTATCTATAATGGGGGAAGAAAACGAGATTTATTGTGTTGTTTAAGTTAGGAAACTTGAAGTTTCCATGGACTTTAGATTTGATATTCTTTAGTGATGTGATTGGTTTTTTAAGTATTACTGCTCTATGTATGGTTCATCTCAGGTGCGTGAGTTGGCTGAGAAAGAGCCAGAGAATGGTGTATTCAGAATGCTCCGGAGTGATGTAACCAGATTCTTGACGACTATACTTATTGGAACAACGTACTGCTTTTTTTTTCCTAGATGCAGTTTGTCTTTAGAGGATTGCTTGAAATTTTGTCTCTTATCTTAGGTCTTGTGGTTGATGTTAGTGTTGTGAATATTGCGGCAACTGCCCTGGTCACCGAAGCAGCAACAGCTATATTTGGTGAAGCTGGTGTTAGTGCAGCCACTGGATTGATGACGGTACGTATGATTGTTTCAATATTTTGTCATATCTGTCAACTTTTAAATCCTTTAGTTTGGTTTAGTACTACGCCTCTTCTGTTTCTGTGTGGATATTCTTTGATCAGCATCATTGCTTATTAAGCTTTCATTCTTGAATGACTCTATAGGTGGCTATATTACTCCTGACCGAGATTACTCCAAAAAGTGTTGCTGTCCACAATGCTCAAGAAGTGGCAAGGATAGTGGTAAGTTTGAATTATTCGGCGTGGATACGCATTGGCTTTTCTCATTTTGATCCTTCTGATAGGAATTAGCTTAATTGTTCAAATATTTTATTGAAGCAAAACATGACCTATGTTGTCTTACTGTGCATTTTAGGTCAGGCCAGTGGCGTGGCTTTCCTTAATATTATATCCTGTCGGAAGAATTGTCACATATCTGTCGATGGGAATACTGAAAATTCTTGGTTTAAAAGGAAGGAGGTATGCATCAGCCTAGACTTGTATTAGTATCTCTTATAGTTTTCGACTTGTTATATAAAAATATATCTGATTCGGTTTGCTGCATTGTCATGCCTTTCTCCTTGTAGAAAGTTGGCGGATCCTAGTTATAATCTATTGTTTTGTGTGTCAGCGAACCATATGTAACCGAAGATGAGTTGAAACTGATGCTACGGGGTGCAGAATTAAGTGGCGCCATTGAAGAAGAGGAGCAGGTATGAGTTTTGTAATTTCTTAGTTTTTCTTGTTTAAAATGTATACCATACCTACAGCTATTCTAATGATTGGTCTGCAGGATATGATTGAAAATGTGCTGGAGATAAAGGATACACATGTTCGAGAGGTGATGACTCCTCTTGTTGATGTAGTTGCAATTGACGCCAGCGGCAGTCTAGTTGATTTCCATAGTATGTGGGTGACCCATCAGTACTCGAGGTAAACAAATTTCTAAAGCCTCCTTTCTGAATCACTGTCCGTTCCTCGGGATTGTTGATTCAAGCTCAAATGTTTTCTTCTCAGGGTGCCTGTTTTCGAGCAGCGTATAGATAACATAGTGGGAATCGCGTATGCTATGGATCTTCTGGATTATGTTCAGAAGGTTTGACGGTTTTCTTTTCTGTTTCTTGCTTTCTGATAATCGTTTTGTGGTGTAGAGTGAACTATATCGTGTTTGATTTTGAAGGGTGATCTGCTAGAAAGTACTTCTGTGGGAGACATGGCACATAAACCTGCCTACTTTGTCCCCGGTAATCATCTATGTATACCCAACATCTAGGCATTTGATTACTTTGGACATTAAAAATTAATCCTGCACACTGAATTACTGCACGGGGAAGAATAACTCATGATGTTTGTTATGTTTTGCAGATTCAATGTCAGTTTGGAATCTTCTCAGAGAATTTCGCATAAGAAAGGTTCACATGGCAGTTGTTCTTAACGAGTATGGTGGAACCATTGGAGTATGTGTTGCTCTTCTTCTATGCTTCTCTACTCTCTCTTCCACAATTTGCTAATCTCTCTCCTATCTAATTTGTTTCTGCAGATAGTAACTCTTGAAGATGTGGTCGAAGAAATTGTTGGTGAAATATTTGACGAAAATGATTCAAAAGTAAATGTCCTAGTTTCAACTCTTGTAGAAAATCATTCTTGATCTGCTGATAGATTCCATAACTTAATTTCTGGCCTCCATGATTTTGGCTCAATAGGAGGAGATTCAGAAGAAAACAGGGTATATTGTGATGAGAGACGAGGGGATATATGATGTTGATGCTAATACATCGATTGACCAGCTATCCGAAGAACTGAATATGAAGATGCCAGAGGTACTGTAAATTTTAGCAGTGGCTTTGATACCTCTTTAGTGCCTTCCTCAACTTATAAATTTTATAAACAAAACGCATCTATAAGGCTACGTGTATGCAGAGAAACTTTTATACAAGCAATCGAAATATGTTAGTTAAAAGTTATATAACCCACAGTGTTTGTTGATTTGGGAAGCAGGACATTCAGTATGAGACAGTCTCAGGCTTTGTGTGTGAGGCCTTTGGGTATATCCCAAAAACTGGAGAAAGTGTAAAGGTCGTTCTTGAAAAGGAAAACTGGGAAGATGATGGCGAAGAAGAGGAAAGCAAACAGGAGAGGCAGGAGCAGAAGGAAAAGCACCAAATCTATAGAGTAGAGGTACTGAGAGAACTTATTATCACATTTACAGTGGTGCAGCATAAGCATCTTCATCGTTGCAAACTGATACAAGTCTTAATGGTGTGCAGATATTAGCAGGGAATGCAAGAAAAGTGAGTGCTGTCCGGTTTGAAAGAGTCAACGACATGGATCAAGTGTCGGAGGCAACAGATGTAAAAAGTATGGTTCCTAAATTCGTAAGGAAATGGAGCAGCGAAGAGGATGATGGCAACTCGTCATACCAAGAAAAATCCGAGAATGCTGTCTCAGATGAACATGCATTGGCTGATAATAGCAAGAAACAATAATGACACTGAGACATGGTTCTTTTTTGTATTACTTTCAGCTGCATTTTTCAATTCTTTTTTGAAAAGGAAAGAGGAACAACGAATTGAGGCTGTCAAAGCTCTTTAACCCAAAATAAGAAGTAAGCTCATAAATACACGAAGCTTTCTTCTTAGTTCAAATGTAATAATGAGGATGGATAAAATTAAGATGTTCGTGTTAGGTAAATTACAAGAAATACTGAAATAGTACCCCACAAACGAATCAGGAGAAATATGAAACTAATAGTGGTCTACATAAAATTTGTTGATTTTAGCTTACGAACAGAGGACTCTGTTTCCGAAACAGATTTTTCTACTCTTTATTTAAAACAGAGATGGGAGGCTCTGAAAACTTTATTACTTTTTTTTGTCTGATTATGGTTTAATTGTTGACATTCTTACGTAAAGATCAAACTTTCGGATTTTATTCTTCAGTTTGATTTTTGTGTTTGTAGATGATGATTGTAAGAAGCTGTTGTATATGTCATTTGTATTGTTCTATGATACTACGAGTTTTCTTCCATTTTCTCAATGTATAAAGATTTAATCTAAACTGTTAAAACATGATCTGAAACAAAAACTCAAATAATAGAATCTCTGTCTCACTTTTCCTTCACCATCTTTACCACCTATCTCTCTATACAAACCTGAATCCAATAGCTTGTTGAGTTCCTACTCGAGCTTGATCAGAAGTTTCTCAAGTTTTAGCCTCAACCTCCAAAAGAGTTATTCTTCTTCTTCTTCTTCTTTGTTCTCCAGGGCATCAACACAACCTTAGGCACTAGACTACACTAGCTTCTTCAGTGCCTCCACCACATTTGACACTGGAGGTCGAAGTCCAGGCTCCGTCTGAAACAAAAACAAATACCAATCCACTCTCACAAACCTTGAGCTTGCAAAAAAGAGTCTGAAGAACATATATATAACACATAGAGAATAATCGCCAATGACTGTACCATTACGCAGATTGAAACTACATCCGCGAATGCCGAGACAGATTCTGGAGCGTAGAGTCCACACAACGCAGGATCCACCATTTCTTCCAGTGTAGCCATGTCTTTAAGCTGCGGCTTTGCCCAACGAACTAGAGACTGTTCTGCTTTCGGCCTATCACTGTAGATTAGAGGCAAGCAATAACAGTTTCAGATACTTGATCGGACATTATATTGTAGAGACATGTTTTGTTAGTTGAACCTGTCATAAGGCGTTCGACCGGTAAGCAGCTCCAGCATCACCACACCAAAGCTGTAGACATCGCTCTTTAGTGTGTAAGCAGAGGGATCTGTGCATTCTGGGGCATTGTATCCAACTCCAAGATTCTGACTTGTGCGCTGAAATTTCAAGAAAGGAGACATTAGGATACAGATTGAAGAAAACAACTCTGTATCTGTTAGTGTTCACTTTCAAAAGAAGCTCACATGGTGAAAGTTTGCCAAGCCATAGTCTGAGAGGTGAGGATTTAGCTCACTGTCGAGCAGAATGTTGGATGACTTGATGTTCTTGTGAACTAAAGGAGGCGAACAAACTTCATGAAGGTACCTGACAAATTAAAGAAAGTTTCACTTGTCAGAAGATAGTTATATATGATTCTCTTGAAAGAAATGGGTGAAACTTATTTACTCTATGGCTTGAGCAGTTCCTAGAGCGATTTTGATTCTGGTGTTCCAAGTTAATGGTTTGCTGAAATCATCAGACTGGTGAAGAAACCTGTTAAGTGATCCACTTGTGAAATACTCATAAACAAGCATGTTCCTTCCTTGTTCTGAACAATAGCCCCTGAGTTCAGCCATATTCGGGTGGTGAATGCTCGAGATACTCGAAACAATGTGTGAAAACTCTTCTGTATTTCCTTTTCCTAACAGCGAAGAATCGATCTCTTTCACTGCAAATTTCTGTTTCAAACGAAGTTTCTTGATAAGGTGATGATGATGAAGAAGAAGAAGAACAGTAGAAAAGCAAAAAAGTTGAAGGAAAGGAGAAAAAAAAACAAACCTTTCCATCCTCATATTTAGCTTTGTAAACACGTCCAATGGTTCCTTCACCAATAAGGCGGTTCGGGGAGAAACCAGAAGCAGAGTTCTGCAAATCCGTGAGGGTAAAGGCTTTCACACCGCGTGTTTCAGGAGAGTCTTCAGGGCTAGAGAAACGGTCAGGTGTTGCAACCCTTTGGATAGCAGGTATGAGATGAAAAGTAGGAGAGTTCTTGAAACTGACAGAGGAAGTTCTTTTCACAGAAGCATTAGAATCAACTGTCATCTTTGTGTCAATTGAAGCATTAGAGTCAACTGTCTTTTGGCCTCTGAAGTCATCCATAGAGTCGAACTGAAGCATCTGAGAGGACTGTGGTGTGAAGAGCGGTTTGCTCTTGTTGGTTCCTCCTTTCTCTTCGTCGAAAAAGTGAGAAGAATGGTGAGAGTTTTTCCTTCGGCAAAGCAGTGCAATGAGTCCTGCAATAAAAATGAGTCCACCTATAGTAGACACCGCTACTATAAGTCCGGTGGTCAGAGCCTTGCTGCTTCCTCCACCGCCTCCCGAGCCTCTGTCTACGTGACGTGTCCCTGGAGGTGGTGACGGTGCTCTACCGCTTGACCACTTGTTTCCTCCAGTTCTGTATTGAACAACACACAACATCAAATTCTTTCTACATCTTTTCACTTAAGTGGGTTCAAGAGGAGAAACTTACTCAAGGTTTCCAATGTTCTTCAGCTCGTTTGGGATCCAACCAGTAAACTGATTGTTTGCGACGTTTCTGTCATCGCAAGATTCATAAGGAAAATTAATGGAAGAAAGGATAGAAAGAAACCCTGTGTCACAGACTGCAAAATACTTACACATCATCGATTTGAGGGAGGTCTCTGAGTGCATTTATAGAGCCTTTGAATTGGTTTTCTTGCAAATTCCTGTGTAATAAAGTTAATAATAATGTAAAGGGTAAGGTGAGTAACAGTAAGTGGCTTCTTCTCTTACAGTGTTTTAAGGCCTGTTAGATTGGCAAAGCTCTGGGGTAGCCTTCCTGTGAGTTGATTGGAAGACAGATCACTGCAAAACATATTAGACTCGATAGAAATACATGAAATCTCTCACAATTAGCATCTGTGTATATGTGACTTACATTGTTTCAAGTTTTGGTAGCTTTTGAAACATGTCGCTTAGTTCACCATTTAGGTTGTTACGACCAAGGTTTCTGAGCCAAAAAAAAACAAGAACCGGTATGAGGAAACTTGGGAAAAGAACATGCGAATGAGTCAAAGAAGTGTCTTTGGCTTACAGGTAATTGAGGTCGTTCATGAGAGATACCGAGTATGGCACATTGCCGTTGAAGTCATTCTCAGAGCCATCTCTGCATTACATGAAATTTCACATTTAGTCTTCACACATTGTGTAGTGAAGATCAGGAACTTGAGAAATGGTATTTCAATAAGCATAATACTCACAGATAAACAAGATTCTCAGGAAGCTGATAAGGTAAGTTTCCGTTAAGATTGTTCTTGCTTACATCACTGTTACAATGACAAAAACAGAACATGTAGCTTAATCTCAACCTGAACTTGATCAAGACGTAGAGATTAATTAAGGATATGTAATAAAAGTGGAAAAAAATTCTCACAGGTAAGTGAGTGATTTCAAGTTTCCAAGCTGGTAACCTAAAGATCCACTGAGTCCACGTCCTGACACTTTTCTACAAAAACACAACGAAAAAATCTGAATCGATGAAGAGAAAAACATTGATCTGCAGATGAGAAAGGAAGTAGCAAACATTTCAGTAACAGATGAGCCCTTGCAAGTAATGCCATCCCATGAGTCACCACAAGGATCGCCTCCGCTCGAAGACCATCCGCTGAGTTTCGATGGAGAGTTCATGCTCTTATATGCGTCATTAAGAGCCGATACTACAAAAAAATTAATCCATAAACTATCAGGAGGAATCAGGAAAACCTTTTTTAATTATATCGTTGAGCCAAAGATGAAACTTAATAACCACCTTTCTCAAATTTCAGCGAAAAGATAGGATCACAAGTTTTAAAATGATTGAATAACAAGACTTACCGTCTTGGCTATCAGTTTTTGCAAGAACAACGGAGGTGAAGATTCCAAAACATACGATGAAGAGTATAATTGGCTGCAGATTGGGTGCCATGATTGACACTTTTATGCTCAGAGATCAAAATCTGCGAAAAATGCAAAAGAGATGATGATCCAAAGAGAAACCCAGGGTTGATTCCGGGTTTCCTTGGGAATGAAGGAAACAGCACGAGGACCAAAGGAGAGGGAAGAAAGAAAAAGGTAGATAGATAGGTCATGAAAGAAAAACAAATTTGGAAACGGTGTGGCAGTAACCAAAAATGGCAAATTCAGTTTCTTCTGTTTGTTTTTGTTTTTGTTTTTATTTCTCTTCTCTCTTTTATTTTTGTTATGTTTTGTTGAGAATGACGTTATTGAGTGAAAAGGCGAAGAAATCTGGACGTGTGAATAGAGAAATGTACAGCTAAAAATGAAGAAGACGCCGAAACATTAGGAGAGAGACCACAACTGTGTCCAAGTCCGATCTAACTGCAAACAATACCACAGTTGTTTCAACGTACAATCAATCACACGTGTGAACCATCAAAACACACAAACTTGTTTCCCGCAGAAACGGGAAGAAAAAACCATTCAGCTTGTCAACATATTTTTCTTGGCCATATCCACAGGCTTGACTCTGTAAAAGGCAAGTCTTTTTACAATCACATTATATCACAAAAATGTAAAATTTTACAAAATTTTGAAAGACCCATATAGTTCATGTGGTCAGAGCCATTGCAAAAACAGAACTTTTTTTCTATGACAGTATTCATACATTTTTTTCACACTTCTACAGACAACTATACATGGGTTTAAATACCAGCGTTCTGGGAGGTTTGACTCGGCGGAGCAACGCGCTTGCTCAGCTTTGTCAAGAAGTAAGCCAATGCAACCTTTGCACCTAAGGCGGAGTGACCACGAGACAGGCAGACTGCACCACCAACTGCACCGCCCACGAGTAACATACCGCTTGCTATATGTTTCTTTGAAGGGACTCTCAACAGTTTCTTCCGTTTGGCTCCTTCACCTGTGTGCAGACCACTCGTAATAGTCACCGAGGAGTTTGTGATGTCATCTGTCTGACTTTCAAACTCTGATGGAATCTGTAGGGATAACACACGGGTGATGTCAGAGAATCAACACTAACTTTGAAATTCCAGCACTTGATCCGAAAACTGAGCTCAGATTAGATTAACAAAACCTATGAACACCTCACCTTTTTCATTAAGCTTACAGCAGATACAGTGGGCCCTTGGGGTCTATGACTGGTTGCAACGTATTTACGGAGTGCATTTTCCATCTTACACACGTAACTCCATATGCCTCTTGAGAAAGCAAGCTTCGCCATCTCAACATTTAATCCAGCATCTTCCTGGTGAAACATGTGGATCTCACAAGCATTCCTACCAGGAACTGCATCAAATTTATGTTTAGCAGTTATGCATAAGATAGAAGAGAATGAAGAAAAAAAAGATCCGCAAAGACAAAGACTAATGAGACCTTATATCATTCGCCATGTTTAAATCTCTCATTAAACGGATTTGTGGTATTTGGTATTCATGCAACATCAAGACAAGTTTCAGTCGAAGTAAGGAAGGAAAAACAAAAATTGACAAGAAAACACCTGCCTTTCCTGATTCGCCAACCAGATCTGAAGTAACTTACACGTACATACTTCCTCTGCTGCGGAACCATATTGTGATCGCATTCCTGATAATAACCAAAAAGCAAAAACGATAAGTTAAGAGGCAAAGTCTTAACAGATAATAGACCAGGGCTGTGTATATCTAGCATCTTCAAGAATTGTTTAGCAAATCAAAGAGGAATAAAAAGGTGCTAATGAAAGAGGTAAAAACAAGTAATTCAGAATTCATAGCATGCGTAATTAGCTTGTTTGTTTCAGTAGCACTGTTTTAGTTCATTTTTACCTTGATGAAGCAATAAAACTTATCCTTCCCCTCCCACAATCTCCAAGCTAATACATACTCCCTCGGTGTCAACAAAGGAAACTTTTTGATCGTGCGACCAATCTCGATTCCGCTGTTACTGTCAACCTGCAATTGCTCATGCTCAACCACAGTCTTGTCCCACTGTTTCCTGTATTCGTTGTCCATGTAAAAGTCCCTCAAAGCCTCTGGCGAGCAGTCCTCAAACACTGTAGTACTTAAGTACTTCATAGCGCCACCGTCCTACAAGAAACCATAGCATTAAACTCAGTTATCAGAGAAAGTATAAAATCTTTACTGTCAAGACACTCAAGGATCCAAGCTTGCTCTTACTTTTGGTTTGCAGCATTTAGCAGTGTATGAGACGCGAGGGTTGCTTTTCTGAATAACATTTTCCCAAATCTCACCATCCTCGTTTCTTTCCCCCAATTTTTCAATCAGGCCTCTTAGATCTTCATCAGAAACAAGCGTAGATATTCTGCAAAGAGTGTAGTCTCTAGATGATGAATCTCAGATCATCAACGATTATAACTGAAATTATACAAGGCACAAGTACGGAACTTGAAACTTAAACAAGAGGCTAAAAACTTAAAAAGTTTAAAACTTTGAACTGAACGCCACGAAGTTGAGCGAAGAAAGCTCACAGAGCAACAAAAAAAAGGAACCCACTTGAAAGTCAAACACAGAACGAGAGATGAGACGGAAATTCAAAACAATTTACCCTGATTTGGAGCGCAGAGATTGAGAAACCGATACGGCAGGGGAAGAAGAAGAAGAAGCATGACTAAAGAATCGAAATTTCCGGAAAATTTGGCAGAAAAGAATGAAGACGAGTGCGAGCACGGTGGCCCAGCAATAACAAATGACTCCATCATCACCGTCAGCTCGCCGGAAAAAAACCTTGGAAGAGGAGACATATAGAGCTAGCTTCGATAAGGTATCGCCACTATTCATCGAATCCCAAGACCTTGGAGATGAAATCTATAGAACGGCTTTTGAATATTCGCGCGTGGACTAGTCTGGTTCAGGCTGCAGAGTGACGAAGGCAACAAACGACTCCTCTCTCCTCAATGGTTCGGAAAATCTTTTGACCTGTCCCGAACTTGGACTGTTCTCTAGCTCTTCTTTCTTCTTTTTACCCTTTTATTTTCTTTTGTTACAGTTTACCCCCTTTTGTTTTTTTGTTGTTACACTTTGGCCCTCTTTTCCAGCCTTAATTCTTAATTTTGTGGACAAATGAATGACTTTCACACCATTTTTACATGATGGTTATAAAAAACAATATTAAAGTCAAAGATATATATCAGCGTAGATCAGATACGTGATAGTCAGAGCTCAGACACGATCTGATATAGAAATATATAGCAAAGTAAAAATATTTATTTCTCAGAAATGGATAATATCAAATACAAGTGAGAGCCCTTAGCCACAATATGTTGGTGATTCATAACATCCAACAAATCTGAATCCGTTTTTGCGTGTAGAAAGGGTCATGAGTCATGCTTATGAACCACACATTCTACTGTCCCTTTTGATAGCAATCTCTCTCTCTCTCTCTTTTGTATTCATTAAAGAGATATGCAATAATATGGTGGATAAGGCAATCACTGAATTTCTTGTCTCCTTCACTATCAAACTCCCAAAGCTTAGGCTTGATTATGTGGAGGGGGTAAAAACCCCACAAAGAAACAAAATTTGGAGAGATAAAGACAGCTTTAGAGCTATTATTGATTGATGGATGTAATCTGCATATTTTATTAAATACTGCCTGCAAAGATATATGAAGCAACTTTACAAGAGCAACATTATATATTGTCTTTCATACATCATCTTCATCTTCTTCTTCTATCAACCCCGAAGAGAGAGAGGGTACAGAGAACATTGAAAAGAGGGAAATTAATCAAATTGGCTGGGAACAGAAAAATGGAGAAAAGAGGCTTACTTTACACAAAAACCAAACCCGGTCAGACGTAAAAATTTCATTTGAATACCTTCCTTCTTAGAACCAAACAAAAGATCATTATGGAAATTGAGAAACATAGTGCCGTTGCTAATTGACTGTCTTTTACTTACTAGTTGGATTGACCAGAAGTGACGGCTATGGTTGTTGTAATTTCATCTGGAGACGAACTGGCCTTGCCTGCTTCTTTGTTGTTGCCCTCATCCAAGCGGACAACCTGCGCAAAACTCTTGGACATGTTCTTGATGAAGTCTGTGGGCAATGCAGCAGAAGCGGGTTTATGTTCGTTTTCTCCTACAGCAGATGGCAAGCTTGGCTGTCTTCTTGCCTTCCGTTCCTGTATGATCTTCTCCCGCTCTTCATAAAACCCAAAATCATCCAAGATTGACGTGTCAGCATCGTAACTCTTGAAAATCTTGAGCATCTCGATGCCCTGTTCCAGTTTCACCTGTAGTTTTCGATTGTGATTATGCGATGGTTTTAAAAAGAGGTGTCTTATGGACAAAGAAAGCTCGAGAAGGCGCAAACTGCTACTTACCTCTTGGGTGTCTCGACTATTAGTCACGGGCTTATTGTCGTTGTTTTCCAATATAATGTGGCGGAACTGACTGTTTGGAACATCTTTGATAATGTGCCACTTCACTGGGAACTGCCCACTCCACTTGTCCTGTTGCCAGTAATCAACACTCTTCTCGAAATCCACAGGTCCGATCATCTCCGCTACACCACAGAACTGAGAACTCGCGTTTACCTGCAGTTACAACCCCATAAGAATTCTGCAGAAAGAAGGCAAATGTACACAAACAGAAGAAAAATGAATAAAAGTTTGCTTGATCCAGGATTAGACTCGTACAGAGAACAGAAGAAACACTGGACATGGTTCTTTCTCGTCCTTGGCCTCACGATAAGCAGCGTCGAGCTTTTTGTTGCCATTAGGGGTGCTAGCCCACACATTGTATTTGATGCTCTTGTGAACGTTGTCTTCACTGTAAGACTTGATTATGAAGAGCTTGGCGTCATTGTAGTCGGTGACAAAGTCAGGATTGCTGTTGTTCGATTCCTCATGTTCCATGGGACTTCCTTTGTTATTTTTCTTAGTATCAGCAGAAGAATCAAGCTCCTCTGATATCTGAGTCTTGGGCTTTGAAGCCCTCGGTCCTCGGTTTTGCTCGTTGAGTATATCAAAAGTACCATTATAACCGCCACCAAGGGACGGATCACTAACCCTTCCACGCCCTCGGGAGTTGTCAACCCCGATCCAGCCTTGGTTTCCCATACCCACATTAGACATTAGCCTACTTCCATAGTTAGAGCCCTGGCCACGACCACCACTATGCATATAACCTCTGTTATAAGAGTTCGAACCAGATCCAAAACCGTAGAACGATCTCTGTCGCTGTGACCCCTGACAAATCAAAAGAATAGGATCCACTTTCAACATATAATCCAATATCCAACCATTGATAAGACCAAAAACTATCCATGTGTTATAGATAAGAGTAGCTATAGTGAGGTGTGAACAAACCATGGGAATGTTCTGGCCATATGATCCAAATGAACCGAGTGGCTGAGGAGATAAAGCCGGTGAAATAGGAGAAGAGTGTCTGTGCATATCAGAAGGCTTGGACCAATCCGACCATATTCCCCCGTCAAAGCCTTGCTGCCACTCTGGGAAGCCAAGGTTTGGCTGGTTTCCATTAAACGGTCCAATAGGATGAGGATGGTATGAGGGGCGTGGTCCGATGTTATCACCTTGTTGGTCAACACCGACAAGGCTGGTGAGCTCGGGCTGAGTTGGTGAAGTAATATATTGCATGCTAGGAGGAACTACCTGCTGGTAATACGGCGATGCACCCGAAAACGGAAACTGCTGTGGCGAGTACAGCTGCCCCTCAGAAGGCAAGGGACTTGCAGCAGGGGAATATGGTCCGTATGGCATTTGAGGGTTGTAACCATATCCCGTTTGGTACACAAGAGAAGCATTCTCATTGAAGCCAACCTGATTTCATCAGAGAAACAATATGAACAAATCTGGAAACATTTTAAAGAATGAAAAATGCCAAAAGAGAAGAAGTTTATAGTACACACAGGAGATGTGATGTCCAAGCCTTCAACATTGACATACGAAGAATATTCGTCCCATTCGCCAGTTGGATTTTCATAACCTGCCTCCCCAACATACAAAGGAATTCCACATTAGCTTCTAAACAAGGCTTATGCTATTCCTTTTTTGATTGCCACTAGTGTTACACTTAAAACAACCGCTAAAATATGAAACAACTAAGCCAATACAGTGTAATTGAAGGTTTGTAATCTAATCTAACCAGAGAAGCCAGAGAAATACAAAGAATCAGAAACCAACCTCTGTAGTAAAAGCCTTGCGCTTGAGGAGAGAGGATGCTGCTAGGTAAGTGTCCTGCAAAATCACCTGCTAAACCATAAGGTCCAGACAGTGGAGCAACTTTTGCTGGATGAACTACAACCGCAGATTCCTGAGAGGGCTTGAAAGAGGCTGATGTCTCGTTGTTTGCCGGGACAGGCTGCATAAAAAAAACAGATTCAAAGTTTTGAAATTTATTTTCTCTGTTGATCTTCATTCCAATGGAGAGATATATAACCAGGGCCCACAAGATCAAAGTACCTGCTCCTTCATGATGTCCAGATTAGCAGGTTGCTCCTCTGTGTTCATTCATAACCGGTAAACTCAAATAAGTCGGTGGAATCAAGATGAAGATCGGCAAAACAAAAAGCAGATCCTAGTGTGCTTATTCAAAATTGAACTAACAAACACAAAAAGCAAGTATCCAAGCTAAGATGGAAAGAGCACGGATCCCAGATCTTAGCTAAAGGAGATCAAATTCTCCTTACACTTCCAATAGAATTATGCTCTAGTAACAGTGGATTCATAAGAACAATACCAGAAAGAAAGAAAAAAATCAATAAAGAAGAAGCTCGTAAGCCTAAAATCCAAATCAACGAACCCTAACACATCAAAGAGAAACATGAATCAACGTGATGTCATGGGATTAGAACCGAACCCACTAAAAACTGGAAAAGGAAAGGCAGAGATCAAACGTAAAGGAATCAAATTTAGACCGGAATCTGACACCAAATTTAGGATAATAAGGAAGATGGGTCAGTGACGTTACCTGAAGCAAGATCTGTGGCGTGTGATTGAGTCGTTGCCATGAATCTGATCGAAAGGCCAAGAATAAGGATCTGATTCAAAACCAAATAAAAAGAAACTGGAAAAGAAAAAAAAAACAGAATCTTTTATATGTAGGGAAGGACAGAGGATCTTTCCATATATGTAAAAAAATACGTAGCAAGAAGCCAATACGTAGGTTTTTGATTACAGTAATTTTACAAGTTTGTTTGTGTGTGTGTGTGTGTGTTTTCTTTTTTTGGTTGTTTTATGATTTTGAAAGAAGCAAAGAATAGCTTTGTTGCTATTAATGATGCAAGCAAAGTGAAAGCTTACCTTATTTAAATGTAGTCTTTAAAGGGCAAAGTTTCACGACGAGGTGGGAGAGGAAGAGATGGGCATTGCTTCCCTTTGGCCTTCTTTTTAGTGTGATTCCTTTGTGGGAAAATGGAAATTACGATGAATAATAATCTCTTCCTCTTCTTTTTTTTGCTCCTTTCTGTTTTATTGAGATTGTTCCCTTGGGGACTCCGAGAATCTTTTTCTTCTTTAAATATTAATTAATTCACTTAATTACACTATAGATCAAATCGTGGCTTTTCTTCTGCATTTCAATTTTATCATCTTTGTTAAAAAGCAAAACTGTTGTTGATCCTAAGAATAATTTAATCAGTTTAAAGACCCTCCATTTACATTTATACACCCACCAACAACTTTTCATACAGATCTACTGATTTTTGTCGCCGACTGTAAGTTATGGAGTGCATACTAAGATAATTAATGGAGTATAACAGTTAGTGCTGGGATGATAATCCAATCGAGATCTATTGGTTTATCTCTTTAAGCTTTTTTCGATATCGTTTACTTTTGTGTCATAATAAAACTCTTTCTTCTACTAAACAAAAACTTTTTTCCTTTTATATCACCAATCGAATTCTACTGTTTTTACCGCTTTGGTCATTACAGACACGATTAACCTTTTACGACAACAGCAAAAAGACTATCATTAGTAACTATTAAAACGGTTTACTTTTTATGATGGATGAGAGAGTGTTTTTTAATCTTTTAGGTACTTTGTTTAACAATATTACAAGTTTATACGTATTCTGTCTTACATGAGGTATCAGATTTACCTACTCTGTCATGTATAAGAAAAAATCGCAGTCACTATATGTTTTCCCTTTTTTTTTTTTAACTAGAGTGGTAAAAGAGTTTGGCTATACGGGGGATGAAGGGGGCTGTTTGGACGCAGAGATAGTATCTGTCAGTTCACGACCACTGGTCTCGAAGGGGAAGAGACAAACGCAGATTCCTGAGACAAGAATCACAATCTCGAAGAGAAGTACTGCGATCGTCTGATGGCATCCGTGAACTAATCCAACGGCCACGAGTGGGCACAATACTCCACCGATTCTCCCCACCGAGCTCGCCACTCCTACTCCAGTCGTTCTCACCGCCGTCGGATATATCTCCGGAGCATAGATGTAGACCACCGCGAAAGCCGCCGAGATGCAGATACGTCCGCCAAAGAGGAGAGCGGTGGTCAAGGCTGGAGATTGATGAGATAACAGAGGAAGAAGGAAAATGCAACAGATGAATAACATTGAAGACATGGACACTTTCCGTCCAAGCCTATCCACCATTGCTGCTGATATAAGTAGTCCTGGAACCTCTGAGCCAAGCCACAGATGATCAACAAACAAAAAGGATTAGACTTTCTTTTATAGTTGGTAAAAAACCGATTTGGGATCTCTTGTGATGACAGAGATATACTAATGTACCTGCAAAACTGGCGATGAAAACGTCTTTGTAGTTAACATCGTTTGAAGAACCTCTTAACACTTCTTCGGTTGGATAGCAACTGTTTCGGGAATTGTTCAGCTCGGTGGTGAGAAGGACAACGCCGTAGTAAGCAAACGCATTTCCAAAGAATACAACCCATAGTAGCAAAGTCCGCTTGATTAGCTCTGGAGATAGAAGAGCTAGTAACGAAAAAGCCGGTTCATTCTTGTCGGATTTTAGCACTATCTTGGACACAGTAGCAGCTTCTCCGACTTCTCCAGGCTTGAGAAGATGAGTGTTCTCTGTTGGAAGGCTTTTATTCTCTTCAAGCTCGGTTTCAGTCTCTGAGCAGAGAACACCCTTAGGTAGTTGGGTTCTGTTCATTATCGCAATCTTCTCCAATATGGAAAGAGCTTCAGCTTTCCGGCCTTGTAAGACTAAGTAACGAGGAGACTCAGGCGTCCACCTATAGAACAGAAGAAGCAACGATGAAGGTACAGAAGAGAGAGCAAGTAACCACCTCCAACCCAAACTTGGCATGATTAGCTGCAAAAGATTATCATGGTGATGTGAAAAGCTAACGTCCAAGTTATTGATGAAAACAGAGCTAAGAAAGTCGTCGATTGTATTACCCAAGCGAGGGAAGCTTCGAAAATGGTTCCAACGGTCCAGAAAGCTGAGAAAACAACCATCCAAGTCCCTCGGTTTGGCGCAGGGATGAATTCAAGATACCAGGAGGCAAGAACAGGGCCTCCTCCCAATCCGAGACCAACAAAACAGCGGAGAATGATCAACCACATGTAGTTTGGTGCAAATGCGCTCAAGAAACCAGCTACGAAAGTCACCACCGCAGTTATGATAAACCCTTTCCTGGTGAAGATAAAAGCATAGATAACAAATTAAATGAAGCCACAACAATGCGTCATAAACAGAAGAAAAATGGCTGCAAAAAGTCCATTTTCAACATTGACAAGATCAAATGAATGAAGCGTACAACTTCAGAGATCATATAATTCGAGAAGTTATAATAAATGAACCAATGGCACATACAAAGAAGCTTGAGGTTAAGTTACCTGCGGCCATGTTTGTCTGCAACGGTGCCCCAAGAGTAAGCTCCAATGAGCATGCCAGCAAAAACGACGCTGGTTATTAAGCTTTCCTCTCGTGCAGAGAGGTTCCAGAGCGATTGAACAGCAGGTCCCACGAAAGAGAGGAGCATCATCTCCATTGCCTCTGCAATCCAACCCATTCCAGCGTAAGCAAGAACGTACAGTTGGAACTTCCCAAATCCCATCGCCACAAGAGCTTCATCCACAGTGTAACTAGGGTTCCCATCTTCCATCCCAAATTCTGGGAAAAAAAAACAAAAAATCAAATTGTCAAACCTCATTTCATCAAGCTCAAGAAGCATTAATCGGATTTCAACGCTAAATCGAATTCAGCTACTAAATGCTCCAACGCGACGACGCACTCCACCAAATTCCAAGAGGGTTTGATCAACGAACAGAAGGGAAGCAATCGCAAATCAAAATTCTCAAACAACACCATCCTAATGGAGAAACCCGTTTCATGAATCTCGAATCGGTCAATATATATATCAAAAATCATGAAATTTGTGGCCAATGGAATCAAAATCTGGGTATTGACTAAAAAACGAACCTGAACGACGTTTAACTTGGAGTAAATGCAGATCCTTCCCTCCACGTTTTCAGAGGAATGAAAATACAAAAAGGCAGAGGTTTTACAAAGTCAACGCCATTGATCGACGAAAATGAAGCATGAATGCAGAGGTCACTAGCCGAAAAAAAAGAAGTGAAATTCAACAATATGATTCTGGTCTTGTACGTCCCCGTTGAGCTAAACTTTTGACGCGCCTTCAAGCCTCTCCTCTGTTGATGATGATGATTCTCTCTTGACCCGGGTTTTTTCTATTTGGGCTTTTTCTTAACTGGCCGAAACATAGATGGACTATTGTAAGATAAGCCCATTTTATCTTCTTTTTTTTATTTAAACTAGGTAAATAATCCGCGATTTCACACAGAAACTTATTTTTTAATAATTATTTTATATAACTGATATTTTAAGAATATGCATAAAATAGTTAAATCAATAAATTTATATTTAAATATATTTATTTAATAAGTTAAAAAGATAATTAATAACAACATAAACATTTAGAAAACAATCTATATCAAATATATGATTGCAAGGTAGTTTCAGAAGAATTTATTTATCAACAAAATGTTCTTCGCAAATTACGCACATATATTATTAGTATGTTTTCCTTCATTATTTGTTTCTATAAAAAATGTTATTATTTCCGATTAGATAATTACATTTTCAATAGAAGGTTTTGGTACAACAGTTCATTAATCAAAAAGCTTTTTAATTGTTTGTTGCTTTCAAGTATCCTCGTAAGTGATATCTTAGTGAATGAATATGTAATGTTGATAATAGTGTCATAATTTTTGAATGGGAATAATCACTAGATTCAATCACTTCACAAGCCCTAAGTATAACATTCATTAGAATCATGTTTACCTCTTCAAATTCAATTCCTTCACTTATCAAAGAATTATTAAAATCTTTTTTTATATGTAGACCTCTCTTCAGATATAAAATTAACGTCAGTAAAAGTAAACAACTTTAATATTGGTAATTGAAACTAAATTATTGTATAACTTGACAATTATAATGATTGTTTCACCACACTCACTTTTTAACAGTTCGTTCAATCTAACGCTATAGGAAGAAAAAGTTATATTTTTTTTAAAAAAATGAAATCAGTAAATATGAGTGTTACCAAAGAGTGAAAATATATTATTTCTAATTTATTAAGTATACAAGTATAAGTGCTCTTTAAGTAAATAAAGCAACTGTTGACTTAAATAATCTTTAAAAAAGAGAATTTGCGTCCTTTTAAAATATGTCAATTCATTTAAAAATGGTTAATTTTTTTCTTATAATTGTTGGAATAATTTTTAATTATTATCAACATATTTGTATCCTGCTAAATATATATCTTAACGTTTCTGTAAATGAAAAATAAAGATTTGTCGTCGAATATTTATACTGCTTTCTCTATTGTAGTTTTCACTGCATTTAAGTATTGTTATTTGCTACGATGTAGTTCCAAAACTCTAAATTTAAAAAAAAAAATGTTTGAAAAAGAAATAATTGCCATCTGATTTTATGTGGACCTGTTTTTGAGCAGTTTCCCAATTGGGATGCTTAAGGTACTGAATATTATTTAATACTTTTTCTAAACATTATTTTTTTTAGCCTTGATAAATTTTTAAACTTTTTAAATAAATGACTTTAGATAATACAACATATATTTTTCTATGACTAAAAGCTGGTCTAAGAAGATATAAACTCACCCTCATTTTATGTGTCTTTTTATTAACGTTCACAACATCAGATTTAACTGATTTTTTTTTCTTTAGTTTTAAACAATATAAATAAATTTGAAAAGATAAAAAATTACAATTATAATAAAAATATAACTATTTATAAAATATAATAATTTATAATGAAAGACATAATCAACACAACAATAATCCATAAGTCTCTCCATGGCTTCACATATCAGCATTTTCAAGCTTTTAGGAGATGACACTTCAGCAAAAAAAAAACACCAATAAAAATATTTCATTAATACAAGTCATCAATATATTTAACTTTTATTTTTTTGCCAAACCCAAAT